GTGGTGGAGCAGCGGCGTATGTAGCCTAAGGTCGGGGGTACGAATCCCCCTCGTGACAGTGACTTTTTTATCTCGACCAAGACCTTAGGCAAAAAGAATATATGATAACCTTGGATATTTAGCAGAGTGAAATAAACATTTCCCTACTATTTCTCAGTTTTATACAGGGGGGCCTTAATTATCTTTAGTATACTCGTAGTAAAACAATTTATAAATTTAAACCATGTATGAAAGGATTGATCATGAATGATAACTGTTTGAATAACAATCGCGATAATTTTAAACATTGCACTATTTATTCAAAAATGCATTAACACTAAAAATTTATAGCAGTTTGGAAAGAAATAATCAATTTCACTTATTAAAACTGACATAAAACTTCGAATATTAAATAATTTATCTTTATTAGTTAATGGAGGTAGTAGCAAAAATTCACGCAGTTAAAATTATACGATGGCCTTAATATTTAATATATTTTCATTACACTAACTCTTAATAATACAGAAGTTAAATAATTAAATACTATCATATATGAAATTATCTCTCTACAATTTAGATTAAATTTTTACTGTACATTTGATGATTTATTTTACAAACTGCCAATCAACAAGTTTTTAAAGAAAAATGTCTTCATTGTCCTTTGCAAAACTTGCTTATTCCAATGGGGTTGTTTATGATTACATTAAGACGGTGGTGAGTTCCTGCTAACTGTGTGATAATAATTGCCAATTGATCGATTCCGTCAGGAATTTATTCAAAATGTAGAAAATACAAAAACAAGACATATTTTTCCAGACTTACAATGGGACAACTCAGTGGAGAAATGTGATGCTAATGAAAAAACGATGTCTTCTTTAGGGCAATAATTACCAAAATTCAAAATTTGGCATGTAATACATCAATTAATTAAGAAAAGTCAACGTACAAGTTACGTCATTAACAAATTAAGATTACAACCGCACATTTTTAAACCTCTAAATTTTTAAAAACAATAGCTAACAATAATTAAAACTTTTATTGAAGTCTTCGAAAGTCTGTTTACCCAGTGATGCAATGTATTACAATTGGAAGGAAAATGTTTTCCAAACTAAAATGCAAAGATCTGCCTAAAAAATGTCAAATATTGTGTATTCCATCCTTTGTAAAAACTGCCCAATGATGCATTACGGTCAGACAAAACAATGCCTGGGTGAAAGGGTGAGACAACACCTGTACAATTGTTCCGACGTGGGTAGACCAGGAACGGCTTTGTCAAAACATCACCATGACACTAGTCCTGACATAAATTATGATGAATTGGAGGTTGTTGACTTGGAAAACGTCTTGAACAGGAGACTTGTAAAGGAAATGCTTGACGTTAATGCAGATTTTAATTCATTGACCTTAAGAAGCGACATTAAAAGTCTTCGGTGATTTGATTTAGGCTTCCTTTAATGTGAACAGTGTCCATCTAGATTCTACTTAGTTGATTATTTAAAATTATTTATGGCAATGTAACCTGTAAGTATCTAAATTAATTGATGGCTGATATTGTAATCCTAATAATGAATTGTTGTAATTGTCTGTAAAGCCTTGAAGAAGATCATAATAAAGGTTGAAAGCTTGGCGAGAAGTAACAATACTCACTTCTTTGTAATTAGATCCCTGGTCAGAGCAAAATGAAAATATAACGACGACGAAAAGAATGTGAACAATGTGTAACAAAAATTAAACCTAATGACAATGACTTAGAGTTAGAATATGATGAAGAATTTAAGACAGAAGATTTTTGTTAGCATAATTAATCCTATTAGGCCCATTGTTACTCTGAGACGTCAACGTACTCAAAGTTTTGGTATGAATAACAGCTTTTGAAACATACCCCAGTGCAACCGTGGGGTTCAATGAACGATTTCTTTTCTCATATCTTTCATCGAATCTGTTATTAATTTTTCTTGTTCAAATTTTCGTAAAATAAAATTTAAAGACGTTTGCTTATATGTTTGCTTGATTTAAAAAAAAACATTGTTTTAAATCTAAGCAATATAAGAGCTCATACCGTCTGTGATTATACTAAAAAACAAATCTCATAGCATTTCAATTAGAAGGAAGCTCAAAATAAGGGCTTCTACAATAAATTTTCTTCAAAGAAATAAAGTACCTGGTATAACCCTTGAACAAAGGATCACAAGGGGAAAACACACAGGCAAGATTCGGCATAAAGCCAGGAACACACTTACCCGATGCAACGCTATGCGACGCTACCCGACGCAAATCCAAAGTCCAATTTTCCCCATAAGATTGCACCCCCGTGCACATCTGCCGATGCTATGCAAAGCTACCCTACTCTACGCTCTGCGATTCCCCCTGTCCTGATTTTCGTCGAGTAGATCGAGTACAATCGAAAACAAAAAACCGGACACTCATATTTTTATTCAAACTACATGTATTATTTTCGTTATATTAATTACAACGTACATATTTTAATATAAACCAAATTATCCGAGATCAAAAATTCATTACCTTTTATTTTTAAACAAATTAATGTTAATGGTTTGGTAGAAAATTGGTCAAAACACCGGAATACCATTTTTTGATATAATGAATTTTACTAACAATTTATTACACGGTTTTGCACATAAAATTTAACTAACAATTTATTTCATGGTTTTCTCATAAAATTACACCATCTTCGTCGAGTGTTGTCAAAACAGGCCACTAATATTTTTTGTAGTTTATTTCAAAGTAAGTATATGTAATTTTGTTGTTATATTAATTACAACATTCTTATTTTAAAATAAACCAAATTAAACTAGATCAAACATTCATGAGTTTTTATCAAAATTATTTACTTATAATGGTTAGGAAGAAAATTTATCAAAACGCCGGAATAACTTTATTTAACTAACAATTTATTACATGGATTTGCTCAAAATAATGCATTAAGAGGCATTGCGATTGTGATACTGATTTGTGATAAACGCTATGTGATTGTACTCGGCATGTGCTTGCGTCGGGCAGATGTGCTCACCCTACCAAAACGTTGCAAGGCGTCAGGTAGCGTCGCATAGCGTTGCATCGGGTGTGTTCCCGACTTAAAGCCGCGGCTCTATTAAGCACTGGCCAAAGACCATGCAGTAAAAAAGGGGGAATAAACCCCAAAATGGCGTACTGGTTATACACTACAACGATTAGGCCCTTGGAGACGTATGGAGCTCTAGCATGGTGGCCAAATAAAACTTTTCAAAACGGAAAAAAACAAATCAAACTTTTGGACATTGGGGTATTCACGATGTTTGTAAGATGTTAACTCGAATAGAGAAATGTCCAGTAAGATCGTGAATACTCCCTTCTTTTCTTAGTATGTTAAACTTTAATTTTTCCGCAATCCGGCGCGTGGGGATTGGTAGAACCAATAAGCTATAACAGTCCTGGATAGGAATGGAAATCTTTAATCTATATATCGATTCACCGCTTCACCGATATATCGTAAAAATATATTGATTTGGGTTTAGGTACATTACGGCTATTTTATAATATCCATATGAGCTAGCCCAATAGGAAGAAAGGGACGTTAGTAACGGTAAAAATATACTCGTGGTCATGAATAATTATATAATCCTTATTAAGTAGTAATAAAAAAGATATAAAACAAAATAGTTTAAGGTTATAAACATTATGGTTTTTAAGCCTTTCGGGCATGTTTTTGAAGGTGCCACTTGTTTCCCTTTTTCCGGGGCATTAAAATATTTCCAAACAACACTTTTTTTACTTTTTCCGGAAGGTGCCATCATAAAAACGTATTTGACAGTATATATATATATATATATATTTATATATATATATATATTGATGTGTCATATCAGATGGCATTCTTTAATCCAATTTAAAGCACTGACCGTGATTTTTTAAAATTATTTATCCAATAATAAATAAAAAAAAGAATTGGCAAGTTTTTTAAATGAATTTTTTTCGTAAATAAAAAACGAATATATCGATACATTTCAAGTATTTACACTCAAACGGGGCCCCGAGGAATATCGAGTACTCGGGGTGAGTGTGCGACGTCTGGAGAGTAAAAGTAAGTTATTAGCGAGAGTGGAGAGGGTTCAACCCCGCCCCGAGGAATATCAAGTACTCTGGGGTGAGTATATGACGTCTGGAGAGTAAAAGTAATTAATTAGCGTGAAAGGGAGGGGTTGCTTATAACCCCGCCCCGAGGAATATCAAGTACTCAGGGGTGAGTACATGACGTCTGGAGAGTAAAAATAATTTATTAGCGTGAAAGGAGGGAGTTGCTTATAACCCCGCCCCGAATGAATGTGACCAGACATCTATGTTTGTGGTGATGTATATATATGTATTGTATGTTTTGTTTTTATTCTGTATTTGACAACCTGAGGTACAAACTAGAGACTAGCATTCTAGAATATCAACGTAGTATATATCTGAAATCAGAGAGTCAGTAACCAGATCGAGATGCTCAAATGGATGCAGTTTAAAACAACATATGCGCGAAAGAAAAGAAAAAGATGGAAAACAGGTAGAGGGCCGGCGATGACCTCAGCTGTTTGTTGGCCCATAAACTTCCCACTTATATATATAATATACACTCAAATATATCGATAAAAATCCCTTGTCCCTGAAGGCTTATTGTTGTTTGTTATGCTTTTATATGTTTGTTTGTTTTATGTTAAATTATAAGATGCCAGAAGTTAGAACAAAAGGAAAATTAATCAACTCTTTCAATCAAAATGCTATCTATGCACTCGAAAAGTACTAACAAATGTCACGCTTCAATTCGTGCCGACATACCTAACTTGTGTCTTAACGTCAAACAGCCTACAACTTTATAGGGTAAGGGGTATGTCTATTATGAATGAGAGTATAAGGACAGGTCAGAAATTAACAAAATAAATGTTTGGTCTGATTTAATTAATGCATATTTAAGAATAAAAATACGTGTATGTTTGAATAGTATTTGTAGATATGAGTGTTTTTCTGTGTTTAAACGAGCTTACCTTGGATGAGAGCGGTGCTTTGTGCAAGAAGTTCCGTTGAATCCGAAGAGACGAGCCTGAGGGTGACGTTAGTCGGTTCGTTCCTCCCGAGAGAGACGAGGACCGCCGTAGACTGGCCGGGCACCCCGACCTCCGGGCACACCACGGATATCCTGTCAAAAAAAAAGGCAAAAGTGAATTTGATTCGAGACCGGATCGGCTTTTTCACCCGGCTTATAATTAAACCGGGAGGATTTCCACTTAGGCTTAATCACCGGGAACTTGGGATGTTCCATTACACCGTGAGCAAACAAAGCGTAATTAATCGCCTACAGCATCTCGTCTTACGGCCTCGGCCTCTGAGAATAAAAGGTTTTCACGGAAGAGTCGGATCTGGAAACTGAATATTTGAACATTTAACCAAGGGTACCGGGTTTAATAACACTTGACTTGAAACTCAAAAAGTATTAAATTAGCAACGTTTTTAACGAAATTTCAGTCTATACCAGTGTTTCCCAACGGCAATTTGAGTTTTAAAGGGGGAAATTTTGAAAATATCTCGTTTAGATATTGAGTCAACTATGTGCCGATTCTCACTATTCATTTATATTCACGATCTCCAAATAATTTTTTTTAGGCACTCTCAACACGACACACAATAATGACCCATGTACACAGAAAACAATCACTTCGAGCATTGAAGATGATCTTGATAAAGATAGAAACGTTGGCACGATAAAGAAAATGTTTTTCTAAACCTACGTCACACCAGACCGCATCTCACGATCTTCAAATAATCACTTTTCATTTCGTTGAAAAATCATCGAATATGGAAGCTTCTGTTCGCCATGAAATATCTGATTTTTTTAAAATTTATTTACAGTCCAAACAGTTCAGGTACCCAAGCATAGGACCGTCAAGCAACACAACGAAACAGTCATTACAACATAAAATATTAACAAAGGATATAAAAATAAAAATAACAGCAAAGAAGTTCCAACACTTTTAACAAAAAATCAAGATTATAAATCGATTAATCAATAACACATCAAAAGTAATAAATAAACCCTCAATTACATTTTAAATCTCGTTCTATATTTTTTTTTAAAAAGACCGGAAGGTCGAGGAGAAGGGGTCCGCACTGACAGCGAATTTATTTCTGTAGTGCACAGCTATGGAGATTAAGGGCGCTGACACACGAAGCGGTTTTGCTAGGTTGTGACACATGCAGCGGTGTGATGTGCGTTTTGGCCGAAGCGGTTTTGTTTTCTCTCAGTTATTAAGTAATGTATCCTACAGTAGTGCATATAAGCATTGAACATCGCAAGGTGTTATTTTGCAGTTTGTATAACAAGTCCTGTTTAATAAATATATTGTTCTGTAACTGTATATAACTTCGTGTATTAGTTACAGCCTTACAGACCATTCCCCCCATACAGTACTTTTTTTTTCTTTGATGAAAATTCCATGGAACTGGCTACAAAATGAAATCTCACAGTTATCTACACACTACGTCTCGTTCGGTTTTCTTTTCTCTATGAAGTTTTGAAAAATAGTCTTTAAAAATAAATATTTAAGTTGATTTATATTTAGATGGGATCTCGGGTAGCCGAATAAGCGTGTCAGACTCTCGGCTTAGATCCTGCAGTTGTAGGTTCGTTCCCGTTTCGCTCCCCCAACAAAAAAAAATCAATCCTCTCTGATCAATAAAAGTAAAGTAATTCCTGTTCAGAGTCAAGGAAGTTTTAAACTACTTTTCATTTTTCATACTATAATTTAAAAGGCACAGAGCTGGGATTTGAACGAGGTCCCCTTCCTACTCCAGATAATATTCAAAACAAAATCTTTATTAAACTAGTTACTACCATGTATCACCGACAGTCATACGCATACTTTGTACCCGTAAAGCTGTAGAAATCATTTAATTATAGGGTGATGTACTTTGAAGTAGTTGTAAAGTTAAAAGAGGCCCTGGAGGAAGGTGAGTTCGTTTTAAAAACGGTTGTTACTGTACAGCACCGTATAATCTGTAAATACTTAGATTTTTTTGCCCCATTTTTAGTGGTGGTTAAGTATCAATATGTAAAGCTCTAGATGTCAGGAAGTTGAGAATTAGCTAAAATTCTATTGTTTATTAATCTTATTGAACTGGCATTGGCCCATTCCCCATGGAGTTCCCATGGATGAAGAGATACTTCTTTTGTCTCTGTTGTACTATCGTTGGAAGAAGAGAATGGAGAAAAAACACAGGAGAATGTGGGTTCATCCAATTGTCGAGAAGAGAAGCGAAAGAGGGCATTTTAAGAATTTGTTTTCAGAGATGAGGAAACACCCTGAAGAATGTTTTAACTTTACCAAGATGTAAATGAGCAGTTTTGACGAGTTACGTAGTAAAATAAAATGCCGCATTACAATTTTTTTTCTCCACGTCTATTTTTTGCATCTTAAAAGTAAATTAGAAGACTGACAAACAACAACCCTTCAAGAAAGCGGGGTACGAACAGCTCGAATAAACGCCTCGTGTGTCAGGGCTGATGCAATACTTGGGTACCACTCACCGCCTGGCGTTTTCAAAACCGACGCGTTGGGTCGTCTCCGCCACCGACCGACTCGGTTTGAAAACCGCCAGGCGGTTACGACCGCTACGTCTGTCAGGTAAGGGCGATGACACACGGAGCGGAAGAAGTATCTCTTCATCCATGGGAACTCCATGGGGAATGGGTCAATGCCAGTTCAATAAGATTAATAAACAATAGAATTTTAGCTAATTCTCAACTTCCTGACACCTAGAGCTTTACATATTGATACTTAACCACCACTAAAAATGGGGGGGAAAATCTAAGTATTTACAGATTGTACGGTGCTGTACAGTAACACAACCGTTTTTAAAACGAACTCACCTTCCTCCAGGGCCTCTTTTAACTTTACAACTACTTGAAAGTACATCACCTTATAATTAAATGATTTCTACAGCTTTACGGGTACAAAGTATGCGTATGACTGTCGGTGATACATGGTAGTAACTAGTTTAATAAAGATTTTGTTTTGAATATTATCTGGAGGAGGAAGGGGACCTCGTTCAAATCCCAGCTCTGTGCCTTTTAAATTATAGTATGAAAAATGAAAAGTAGTTTAAACCTTGCTTGACTCTGAACAGGAATTACTTTACTTTTATTGATCAGAGAGGATTGATTTTTTTTTGTTGGGGGGAGCGAAACGGGAATCGAACCTACAACTGCAGGATCTAAGCCGAGAGTCTGACACGCCTACTCGGCTACCCGAGATCCCAGTTAAATATAAATCAACTTAAATATTTATTTTTAAAGACTATTTTTCAAAACTTCATAGAGAAAAGAAAACCGAACGAGACGTAGTGTGTAGATAACTGTGAGATTTCACTTTGTAGCCAGTTCCATGGAATGTTCATCAAAGAAAAAAAAAGTACTGCATGGGGGAATGGTCTGTAAGGCTGTAACTAATACACGAAATTACATAGTTATAGAACAATATATTTATTAAACAGGACTTGTTATACAAACTGCAAAATAACACCTTGCGACGTTCAATGCTTATATGCACTAGGATACATTACTTAATAACTGAGAGAAAACAAAACCGCTTCTTTCAAAACGCACATCATACCGCTGCATGTATCACAACCTAGCAAAACCGCTCCGTGTGTCAGCGCCCGATTAAGACTCTAGCCGTATTTGGTCCTGTGCCGTGAAGTACTGAACAGTTCATGGGTCCGTAGTTGACGCTGGGAAACCCTAAAGCCAATACAAGATAATAGCTTAATAGTCAGCTTCTCATTGGAACGTCGAGATCGCGGGGCTATTGGCGGGTTCACTTTTGTAATTCATGTCGAGAAATGTAGTTATAGAACTCCTTCAACCTGATGACGAGCGAAAAGCTCGTAATCCGGTCGTTGCAAAACAACTTACCGTGAGTAGGAACTATGTTTTTAACAAGGACTTAACATTTCTATACAAGATAGAAGACTCCGGGGAGTCAATAAAATTATTTATGACCTTCCACAGAAAAATAACAGAAGCCAAAACTCTTCTATACGCCAGAGAATCCAGCCTACTAGAGCAAGTCTGGCTTCATAGGAGCACTGACGGTAGTTCCTGTGATTGCATAACTTGTAGTACAGGTATTTCGTGGCTTTTCTCTGTTCCCTTCCTACCATGTAAGACCCATCTAAAGAATCCGGCCACCAAACAACACTGGCGTAATCTAGGTGACTGCGCACCAGTAATTGATAAAGTAATTTTATTGTAAAAGGGTTCGTACGTCAACAGTTTGCCTGAGTACGAATCCTAAATTTTTAAACGATTTATTCCTAATGGCATGGATGTGGTCTCGAAAATCACAATTCTTATTAAAGATAACCCCGAGATCCGACATAATACCTACCTCATCAATTTGAGAACTTTACTATAAACGAATTGGTTGTAATCGTGAATTATTTTTTCTTGGAGAACTTCAAAATCTTACATTTATTTTCGTTTAATTTCAAATTATTACGCGTACACCAAAGCCAAAGCGTCTCAAGTCATTTTGTAAGAGAATGCAGTCATTTAACGATTCGACAGGGCGATAAATTTTCAAATCGTCTGCTAACAGTAAAAATGAAGAATTAATGAGAGGAGCGGCGACGTCATTAAAAAATAAAATAAATAAGATCGGACCAAAATGAGAGCCCTGCGGCACACAAAATCGTACTTGGACAGGTTTCGATAAGTCTTCACCAAATCATTGGACAGGACCTCGGGTTACTCCGAACCGCAAACATTTTCTGCTATTTTTAAATATCCCGTAATGATTACTGTCAGTTTCATTTTTTCATGGAGTTTCACGTAAGGCTTATCGCCATCGCTGCATTAATTTAAATTATTGTTCGCTAAAATCTTTGTAAAGTCTCGCTTTACTTTACTTTCATAGTTCAGTATATTTTATTAAAGTGTCAAATAAATGATATGTATATCAAAAATTGACAGATTATACTAATTTAGTTTTCAAAGGTCCTAATTCTATAATAATGAGAAACTAGTATTTTTTTAATTTTTGGGTAAATTTAGCATTAATATTAATAGGCAGATAGATACGAGCTATTCGCGTTTTTATGAAAAGGAAAAAACTTAAGACTAATATTTCTCTATATCTTAAA